CTGTCAGTGTAGTGGAAAGTGCCTCTAGTGGCTGTCCTATTGACAGCCACTAGAGGTGTGCTTAAACCTGCAATGCAAACATTGCAGTTTCTAAAAAGCTGCAGCGTTTTTACATTGCAAGGTTAAAAGGACAGGAACACTGCACAAAGATGACTTCATTGAGATGAAGTGGTCTGGATGACTATAAAAATGAACTGAAAACTGTGGCTTTTTCTTGTCTTCTTGGAAGTTGCAAACTGGTAAACACTAATTAGCATCCCAAAATCCTTGCAAGCAAAGTTGAGTTATGTACATTCACTGAAGGAACATTTCAAGCACCATGACCATTACAGAGTGTTGTAGTGAGTGCCTTTGCACCCCCCTCAATCTAAGGAGTCAAACGGTTTAGAAACTATTTGACTTTTTACATTGGGTTTGCTGAGTGCTCCTCCACACCTACTCTACGTCAGAAGGAAAGCTTGAAAGCAACTAAACTCCAAGTCCTGCACTTCCGATCTTATTTCAATGAAGAGAACTTCTGGAGGAGAGTAAGTGTAAAGGGATCCAGGTAAGAAGTCAAAGCCATAACCACTAAATATTACTGTTTAAATTTAAAAAATGAGAGAGGGAAATTTCATCATTATATTGTCTCCAGCTCAGGAGTGGGGTTTGGGTTGCAGGCAATCCACACGTTTATATTAAAGGGACACTGAAGGCACCCAGACCACTTCAGCTAATTGAAGTGGTCTGGGTGCAATGTCCCATGTCCCTTAACCCTACAGTGATAATTATTGCAGTTTCTGAGAAACTGCAATAATTACCTCTGAAGGTTAACTCCTCCTTTAGTGGCTGTCTTCCAGACAGCTACTAGAGGGACTTCCTGAATTGAAACAAACCTTTGGTCCATTATCTGACACTGGATGTCCTCACACTCTGCATGAGGACCTCCAGTATCAGACTTTTCCCCTTAGGAAAGCATTGGGAACAACTTTGTTTTTCTGGTACTATAGAATCTCTTTAAATCACTTGAAAGCTGTAGCAAAAATTTAATGGACTGCTTCCATAGTTTTCTAGCTGGAGAAACGCTACAATAAACTGTAGTAGTTATGTTGCTTGGGGTGTCCCTTTAAAGGACCACTATAGGCACCCAGCTTAATGAAGTGGTCTGGGTGCCAGGTCCATCTAGGATTAACCCTTTCTGCTGTAAACATAGCAGTTTCAGAGAGACTGCTATGTTTACATATGGGTTAATCCAGCCTCTAGTGGCTGTCTCATTGACAGCCACTAGAGGCGCTTCCGTGCTTTTCATTGTGATTTTCACAGTGAGAAGATGCCAGCGTCCATAGGAAAGCATTGATAATGCTTTCCTATGGACTGGCTGAATGCGCGCGCGGCTCTTGCCGTGCATGAGCATTCAGTCGGTGACGTCAGAAGAGGGAGGAGAGTCCCAGCGACAAGGGAGCCCGACGCTGGAAAAAAGGTAAGGGATTAACTCCTTCCTCCCACTTCAGCGCCACGGGAGTGGGACCCTGAGGGTGGGGGCACCCTCAGGGCACTATAGTGCCAGGAAAACAAGCATGTTTTCCTGGCACTATAGTGGTCCTTTAATTTGTTATGCCAGTACTCACACCTTTTCATGTATGTCTGTGTTAAAACATTTAATAACATTTTAATAATAAAAAAAACAAAAACATAAGTGCTCAATAATTACAAATATTTTCTAAACTGCAAAGTACTTCTACGTATAATATTTCATGGTTATCTGCCAATATCAAGCAATGTTTCTATCTTTATGAAAAAGGGCATAAAAGCTTGGAAATGTGAAAAAAAATGCATATATGAATACATATACAAATGAATAAATAAATAAATAAATAAAACAGGAAACTATGAAGATAGCAGTTCTCATTAACACTAAGAGGTGCTTAGTGCTGCAAAGGTTAACCAAGATGTAGGGCTATAATTATTCTAGGGGCAAGCAATGTATTAGATGGTAAGGAGAAAAAAATATTTCTGTATAAATGTGCATTAGATGAACAAGGCTATGTTGCGATACGCTACATTTCAATGTATATCAAGACATATCTAAACTATAATACATTTTTTGAAGTGGAAGTGGAATTCTGGAAATAAAATATGTGTCAAATTTTATGACATTTATATAATTGAAACCACACCACCAGATGTTTAAATGAATCCTGAAAAAATATTACCAGCTATAGTGAACAAGATGGTGTCATACAAAAACTGGCATTTACTACATTTTGTTTAAATATCTTTTTTATAGTTTGTCACTTTACATTTTAAAGAGTTTACGTGCAAATAACTTCTGAGCAGAGCCAGATTACCCATAAGGCCACTGAAAACATGGCCTCAGGGTGGCACACGGAATTGGGACATCACTGCTGTATCCTGTATCATTGGTCGTACAGCAGGAGTGCTCAGGCGAGAAAAAGAATAACTCTTTCCCCTTCTCACCTGGCACCCGTCGCGACAGGTGTTATCTCCCCCACAGGCAGTAAAGGAACTGTAAGAGAGCATGTGGAGATGACGTCAACCTCACAACCCCATACCACTAAATTCAGACACTAGCGCTATAATACACAAATACATCCATCATTCACATGCATGAAGAAGGACATTGGCGTAGAATAGATGGAAGAACAAATAGATAGGAAAATAAGAAATAGGCATTGCTGTAAAATGGCTATGGCAATTAAGCAGGTGATGTACAACTGTCTGAATTGTCTGATCCCTACCTAATTGAGTAAGCAAACATTTTTGGGCATCAATAGTCCTGTTAATTGATATCATTCACTGAAAACAATGTGGCTTCTCTATAGAGCATGCAGGCCAAAGGTAGGGTGGCAGGCCAGAATTGTAGAGCCACAGTGTCATGATACTTTGTCAGCCTTATGGCTTCCATCCATCATGGAATGTGTAGTAGGCTGTAGGAGTGATCAGCCAGTTCACCATATAGAAAGCTCAGCCATGCTACAATGCCTGAGGTTGGACCACAGGAGAAAAAAGAAAATATTAACTTATATAATTAAATGTTATATATATTGTTTGAATTACAGCTGGAGGGAGAGAGTAGCAATATGGATAAGACAGACAAAAGAAGTTAAAAATGGGAGTGACATAACATCCATATAATTAGTTTAGCCTCCCCCTAAAAAAAAAAAAAAAAAAAAAGTTTTGACTTACCTTTATCTCACAGTGCTTATCTACCTCCTTTATCTTATGTCACATTGGACCTCAAGCGATCCAATCACATGCTTCACATACAGGAGAAGGACGTGGGAGGAAGGATTGTTGATTTAATAAAATATAACGCAACAACTTGCAGATGCTCTGCCAGTAGGAAACATATTCTTATCCATTAATATGGCAGTTCCACATAGCAATAGCAAAAAATAATTCTTAGTTTTTATGTTTCATCTGTTTAGTAGATGCATTCCTTATTTGCTATCCCTATATGAAACTGCCATATTTATGGATACCAAAAAAGGAAGCTGTTTAGTAGATAACTGCTCTATTTGGTATCCATAAATATGGCAATCCCATATAAAGATACCAAATTAGGAAGCAATCTACTATTATCTTATTTTGTTGTTTTTTTAGCTATATATAGATAATGGTGGCCTCTATTTACAAACAAGGCATTTGGCCCTCGTGCCGAAAAAGTTGCTGACTCCTATTTTAAATTGAAGGAGGAATGGAATGATGGGGTGTGACCAGAGATAGGGTGTTGCCAGAAAGGGGTGCTGTGAATATTTTTCACACAGCCCATCTAAAGGCCTGAAGCAGGCATTGCCTATGACATTGGGGGGGTCTACCAGTTTATAGTGGGCAAACCTTTACAGTTGTGTCTTTTATGGTTACATTGACTCATACGCATGCATTTATTTGCTATGTAAATTAGAAAGTGGCCATATGTGTTATTTTTTATGTAGCACAAACACCATGTTTAATGTTTAATGCTCCTTCTGCTTATGAATCCCAGAATTTTGTTGTGAAATAATATACAGGTTTATTAGTAAAAAGAAATGTTTACTGATTAGCCACCAACCTTTGAGACCCACTAATTACAACTCTGTGAGACTTTGCTTTTCTAAGACATTTTCCTCTTCTCCCTAAAACTCCCAAGAAAGACTTCTTATTTTAACATAAATATTTGCTGTCCCTTCTGGAGACACTGCCCATGCCTGGAACTATTGGTGTTGCCAGGAGGTGGATGGGGCTGTCTAGCCTTTCTACAGTACAGCTGACTGTTATAAAAAAAGAAAGATCAGTAGGATAGTGCTAATCAGTAGGATAGTGATACTTACACCCCACTATTAGTACGGTAGTATGGTGGGATTACATTGAATACTTGGCTATGCTTTCATTGAAAGTCTAGAGCAGGGGTGCTGAAAAGATAGATCCCCAGATGCTTTAAAACAGCAGCTTCCATGATGCTGTGTCATTCTAAAGGCATGCAAAGCATCATGGGAATTGTAGTTCTATAACATCTGGGGGTCTACCTTTTGGGCACCCCTGGTCTAGAGAGTTTCAGCATTACGCTGTTTATGGGTAGAGGATGGAACATAACATAGAAAGATGAAACACTTCAATGTTAGTGTAGTGGACATCACAATTTCCTTTGCACTTAAATCTCAGATATTTATGTAACCTACCAATGCCCCTGCCAGAAACCAACATAAGATCTGAATTACTTTGTATCATATGTATCTTGCACTGTATTGTTTTGTGTTATATGCTACTCTACAGGTTATGATATTTTTTCAGGGTTTTTAAAAAATGTATTTGTAAGCCAGAAATATCCTAAATTGTGTCATCAATCACAGAGCACTGTATAAAACATTTTTTATTGCATTGCATTGGCTTGAATATTTTGTTTTGCATTTCATTGTTAAAGATTTCACGTAGTTGTGTAATATCTTTGTCTTTGCAAAACATATCCTGTTTTCAGATCCCAGTAGGTTCCAACAGAACATGACTTCATCATAGTGTTTTATCTCTCTCTCTCTCTCTCTCATATTCATATATATATATATATATATATATATATATATATAGAGAGAGAGAGAGAGAGAGTGAGAGAGAGAGATTGAGAGATTGTGTTCTGTGTGATTTGCATTCTTGTGCTTACTATGACTGCATGGGTTGATAATGAAAATGTATCCAGTATTGTAGAATTAACTATATACAACGCTAACACAGTCATAACAAGGATACTGAGTATAGAAGTATAGACCACATGCTTGCTGTTTTGTGCTAATGAGAAAAATTATTTTTTTGTAATAACTTCTTGGTATTCAGCACCTGCTGGGCGCCTTGCGCAAAAGCTAGAAGCTTTGTTAGCTTGAAATGGAGCGTGAAAAATAACAAAACCAAGGACAGACATTACATTATTTTTAATATGACATCCTGCTGGGTCATTGGTTTAGATATTAAAATTATAGAAGTGATGTCACTTTTTTAACTCTTCCACTAAAATCTAGGTCATTTTGCCAATGCAGCTGAGAGGTTAAGTAGATCAAACTATTCCACTGCACGCCAGCTGATGAATTGTCAGTCAGTTCTTATTCAGTCCCAAGTGTCAAGGCTTTTCAAAGTCAACCTTAAGTTTCTTCTGGAGTTCAGCTGGGACCTGGCCATTTATGCCACTCATAAATAGTGCAGGAATGTGATGCTGTAAGAGGATGACATTAATACATCTAATTCTTGCTTGCCAAGCTGCCTTCACTCATTCTGCTATTTCCCTATTTCCCAGTCACTTCTCTACATATCACTCTTGGTGACATTAGCAAGGACCCAGAGTGCCTCTATAACTTCATGCTACCAGATGATGAAAAGCTCTTAGCATCCAATTAATGCTGAATTAGCAATTGCTTGTCCTTTGTCTTGTTTGGTAAAGTGATTTGCTTAAAGCTGTATGTAATAATCACAACAAAGTAAGCGATTTGCTTTCTCTATACATATAAGGACAAAGGAATCATTGCCTATTTCCCAGTGGTGTATTTTGGATTTGTGCTGCCCTAGGCATGGCTAAATTCGAGCACCACCAAAATCTAAATTTACCCCCCCAATTCGTGTCAAAGCCACTTTTTTTACTGACAGACACATGCCCTCATTGATACATGCACTGATATACACTCACTGACAGATACACAGTCATTGGCACACACATACAGTAATTGGCACACACTGTTTAACCAACACACACTTTCACTGACACACACTCTCTGATACACATAAAATGACATACACACACTGACACACCCATTCTCACTGAAAGACACACACACACGTTCACTCACTCACAGACACACACTGGCAGCTACACTCACTCACTCACTCACTCACAGTAAGGTGGGCAGCCCCAGAACACTTGGGAAGCTTGGGGTGGCATTTTTGTTGCCCAAAGTGCCACCTAGGCAAATGCCTCTGCTAGTTAATACATCCAGGGCCGCCATCAGGGGTGATAACCATGGCCGGTTGTCATGGGCCTGGAGAGCCAGCTGCCCTGGGCCCCACGTGCATCAGCAGAACTGCCCGGTGCATCTGCACGGGGCCCTGCGCTGATGGGGCCCATCAGGTGGCCCAAAGCATTTAGGGCCCCCCAATGGGCCCTATTATCTTCAGGGGCCCAGTCAGCGCTGTAATAGCGTGACCGGGCCTCTTTAAAAAAAAAAAAAAAAAGTGCAGTCGGAAAGCAAGTACTGCTGGGAGGAAGTGACATTCGGTCACTTCCTCCCAGTTTACTCTGCGTGGGAAGGAGGAGAGAAAGGCCGCAAGGAGAGGCAGCCAACTCACATCATCCCCAGCCACCCTCCTGTGACGAAATGGTAAGGCTGAAAATGAGGTGTGTATATATGTATGTGAGTATGTGTATGTATGTACGTGTATGCCAGTGTAGGTGTGACGAAGTGCCCTTCGCCACTTGTGCCTGGAGAGGACTAATTGCCAGCCTCCTGCCATGTGACTATGGTCCCTGGGAGACTTTACCAGTTAAAAAGACTATTTGGGCTTATTTGCTTTTAAAAGACTGTATCTGCCCTTTGATTCCATGGGAGCATGTGTCTCTTCCCCTCCCCCTCTAATACCTATACCATTGTTCTCCAGCAGGGCGTTGTCCCAGGGACACTGGCAAACCAGCTGTTTTGTCCCAAATAGGACTTTTACCTAACTTTTGAACTACTGGAGGGAATTGTATGATTTTGGGTATGTTTATAATTAAAGTGTGCTGAGTTCGAATATGTGATTTTTATGTTTGTGACATGTATATTTTGGAAGTTATTAATATGTTGCATAAAGTGTATTTGTCCTGCCTGTGATAAATTACATTAACCCATTGTGTTCAGTAATTATATCACAGGCAGAGGGGAGGGATTGTATGTTGGTGCTGGGTGTGTTTTACGGTTTTCCTGTAAATGATTGGTTGTCCCCTTGCATGGGGACTTGCATAAAAGCCAGTGTGTGGTCATTAAAATCAGATCATCTTGTACCTTTCTTGAAGCCTTGGCTCATGTTTGGGGGAAGGGATACCTATGCTCTGGGGATTGCTATAATCACTTACTCCCCAGAGTAAGCTCTTGCAATAGCTTGATTTCTTCCTGCTACGCTCTCTGGATTTAGGAGAGGTTTACCCACTGGGAGCTGGATCCTGGTCGTGGATCCAGGGTGAGTGGAGACGGCGAGCCCCCAGCGCAGCTGTGTCGCTGGAAGTGGGGTCTGCAGTGCTGATGGTGTCGGTTGGAGTGCTTGGAGTCCTCAGCGAGCACTAGGCGCATCGATTGGCGGAGGTACTCAGTCGGAGTGCCAGCGTTCCATCACAGCATGTATGCATGTATGTATGCCAGTGTATGTATGCCAGTGTACGTATGTATGCATGTATGTATGCCAGTGTATGTGTGTATGTATGCCAGTGTATGTATGTATTTATGTATGTATGTATGCCAATGTATGTATGCCAGTGTATGTATGTATGTACACATCATCCCCAGCCACCCTCCTGTGACGAAATGGTAAGGCTCTAAATGAGGTGTGTATATATGTATGTCAGTATGTGTATGTATGTACGTGTATGCCAGTGTAGGTGTGACGAAGTGCCCTTCGCCACTTGTGCCTGGAGAGGACTAATTGCCAGCCTCCTGCCATGTGACTATGGTCCCTGGGAGACTTTACCAGTTAAAAAGACTATTTGGGCTTATTTGCTTTTAAAAGACTGTTTCTGCCCTTTGATTCCATGGGAGCATGTGTCTCTTCCCCTCCCCCTCTAATACCTATACCATTGTTCTCCAGCAGGGCGTTGTCCCAGGGACACTGGCAAACCAGCTGTTTTGTCCCAAATAGGACTTTTACCTAACTTTTGAACTACTGGAGGGAATTGTATGATTTTGGGTATGTTTATAATTAAAGTGTGCTGAGTTCGAATACGTGATTTTTATGTTTGTGACATGTATATTTTGGAAGTTATTAATATGTTGCATAAAGTGTATTTGTCCTGCCTGTGATAAATTACATTAACCCATTGTGTTCAGTAATTATATCACAGGCAGAGGGGAGGGATTGTATGTTGGTGCTGGGTGTGTTTTACGGTTTTCCTGTAAATGATAGGTTGTCCCCTTGCATGGGGACTTGCATAAAACCCAGTGTGTGGTCATTAAAATCAGATCATCTTGTACCTTTCTTGAAGCCTTGGCTCATGTTTGGGGGAAGGGATACCTACGCTCTGGGGATTGCTATAATCACTTACTCCCCAGAGTAAGCTCTTGCAATAGCTTGATTTCTTCCTGCTACGCTCTCTGGATTTAGGAGAGGTTTACCCACTGGGAGCTGGATCCTGGTCATGGATCCAGGGTGAGTGGAGACGGCGAGCCCCCAGCGCAGCTGTATCGCTGGAAGTGGGGTCTGCAGTGCTGATGGTGTCGGTTGGAGTGCTTGGAGTCCTCAGCGAGCACTAGGCGCATCGATTGGCGGAGGTACTCAGTCGGAGTGCCAGCGTTCCATCACAGCATGTATGCATGTATGTATGCCAGTGTATGTATGCCAGTGTACGTATGTATGCCAGTGTATGTATGTATTTATGTATGTATGTATGCCAATGTATGTATGCCAGTGTATGTATGTATGTACACATCATCCCCAGCCACCCTCCTGCAACGAAATGGTAAGGCTGAAAATGAGGTGTGTGTATGTATGTATGTGAGTATGTGTATATATGCCAGTGTATGTATGTATGTATTTATGCCAGTGTATGTATGCCAGTGTGTATGTATGTATGTATGCCAATGTATGTATGCCAGTGTATGTATGTATATATACCAGTGTATGTGTGTATGTATGCCAGTGTATGTACGTATGCATGTATGCATGCCAGTGTATGTGTGTATGTATGCCAGTGTATGTGTGTATGTATGTATGTATGCCAATGTATATGTGTGTATGGATTCCAGTGTATGTATGCCGGTGTATGTGTGTATGTATGTATGTATACCAGTGTGTGTATGTATGCCAGTGTATGTATGTATGCCAGTGTATGTGTATATATGCCAGTGTATATATGTATGTATGCCAGAGTATGTGTGTATGTGTGTATGCCAGTGTATGTATGTATGCATGTATGTATGCCAGTGTATGTACGTATGCCAGTGTATGTGTGTATGTATACCAGTGTGTATAAGTATGTATGTATGTATTCCAGTGTGTCTGTATGCCAGTGTATGTATGTATGCCGGTGTATGTGTGTATGTATGTATACCAGTGTATGTGTGTGTGTATGTATACCAGTTTATGTGTGTATGTATGAATACCAGTGTATGTGTGTATGTATGCCAGTGTATGTGTGTATGTATGTATGTATACCAGTGTGTGTATGTATGTATGTATGTATACCAGTGTGTGTCTGTATGTAAGTATGCCAGTATGTATGTATATATGTATATATCAGTATGCAGTATGTGTATGTATGTATGTTTGTCAGTATGTATGTCTGCATGTATATGTGTGTGTGTGTGTGTCAGTATCTCCCTATGCATGTGTATATGTCTATTTCAGTATTTGTATCTATCTGTTAGTGTGTGTGTGTATTCCTGTGGGCGG